CGGTCAGGACCCAGAGACCCCTGGGCATCGCTTCGCGGGGCGGGGCTCCACCCAAAGTCCCGCCCCTTCCCAGCTAGGCCCCGCCCCCAGGCTGACCCAAGCGCTCCCTCCGGCCCCTTCCCTAAGTTTACAGATTCCTCTCCTCAAACCGCGCTCTCAGCCCCGGACCCAGCCCTCGGCCCCCCAGGTTCAGCCCAGTCCCCTCTTCAGGTCCCGCCCCCAGCTTACTGCCTCCCCCACTCCCATTTCGCCCCCTCGCTCAGGCCCTTCGTCTGCGCGCACTCCGCACCTTCGTAGACTCCCAGGCGCCCATCGCCGCCGCACAGCTGGCCCGGGTGGCCGAAGCAGATCTGGTCACAGTCGGTGGCCGGGGCCGGGCGACCTCGAGCCAAGTCGCTTTCAGAGCCACAAAAGCAGGCGTAGCCGGCTTCCACGCCCGCCAGCTGGGAGCATAGACCGGGTGACGCCAAGGGCAGGGTCTGGGGTAAGGGTGGGGCGGTGGGAGCCAGGGGTCGGGCTCGAAAGTGGAAATCGGACTGGAGGTTCAGAAATCAGTATCAAGGTTTGGTGTCAGAGTTGGGAGTGTTTTGGGTCCTGATTTCGGTCAAGGTCAGGGGTCACTGGTCTGGGCCTGTGCGCGGTACCTGGTAGCCCTTCATGCGGCAGAAGCGAAGGCACACCTGGACCGTGAGCTTCGTTGAGGTGCCGCTGGGGCCGCTGAGGGCTGGGGGTGCTCCCGAGTCCACGAAGCAGCCCAGGTACCCGGGCACTGGGGAGGCATGGGAGTCGGGGTCTCTCCGGTGCTTCCAAAAGTGAGCTCCACTCAGGCAGCCCAGGGCTCCCACCCTTGTCCAGCTGGGCCCACTCACTGTGGCACGTGGGAATGTCGCAGTAGCGCCAATAGATGCCCTCCTCTGTCTCGGCCACATAGCACCACGGCTGCACATCGCCGTCCGGGTTCCTGTAGGCCGGAGAGAAGCCCGGATCCTGCCACCTGCAAATCCCAGGCCCCACCCCGGGGCCTATTCGCAAAAGGGCCACCGAGTGGGGTGCAACAACTCCCCGTTCTGCGTGTAGACTTCCGAGTGGACGGCGGGAAGTCATTAAAGGGCCCTGGGGGCTGACTTTGGGTATTCAGGCGAGGACCTCGAGCGTCCTCGGTAGCGCGCTCCCCACACCCCGCCCTGGGCCTCGGCCACGTGCCTTGCCTCAGAACCCTGCTTTAAAGCAGAAGTGGCGACTTCTACCAGCAAAGTGTCCTCCCGCTCAGCTCACTTTCTGCTGCTCCAGACAGCAGCTGTGTCCCTGAACCCCAGTCCCTCCGTCACCGCTAGTGGATGCCCCTCAAAGAAGTTGTAGGGCAAGAGCCCGGCCCCTCACTCCAGAGATCGTTTTCTGCCGGGTCCACACGGGACCCCTGGGTGCCCGGGCCTGATGTGAGGCTGCACAGAGGTTGCACAACCTAAGGCAGGACCCAAGTCGGAGAATGTTTTGAGTGCCCAGCGCAGGCTAAGGCCTGCCCGCGTGCTCTTCCGCTGGACCGACCTCTGCTCGATTCACGCAGAGCCCCTGCCTCAGGCCCCTGCCCGCAAGAGTGGACCCCGCACCGCCCCCAACAGGCCCCGCCCCTCACCGACAGAAGTTGTGCGCTCCCAGCCCCCAGCGACCCTGGGGGTCCCTGGCGCTGCTGTAGCTGTGCTGCTGCGTCTGGTCCCAGAAGAGGCAAGGGCGCCCCGCGCCGCGCGGGCCCGTGCGGTTCTGGTGGCCGCGGTAGTCCGCGCCATTCACCTGGAAGCACTCGGACAGGCCTGCAGGTGACAGCAGGGCCTTGAGAAGTTCGCAGCCTCCCACGACATCCTAACGCCACGACGCCAGCTCCTGCCGGGCTCCCCAGCTTGCGCCCTGGTGCCCCGGGGCCCTGGGGCTGCTCAGCTGCTCCCGCCACCTGCTCTGACCCCGCGCCAGGCTCGGGACCCGGGCCCTAGGCGCGAAGGCGGAGGAGGGAGAGGTGACCGAAGCCCGGTCCCCGGGCCCAGACTCACCTGGGCTGTGCAGGCTCCCCGCGGAGGCCCCGCGTGGCGGCAGCGTCGGGAGGAAGAGGAGAAGGAGGAGGCTCTGCGGGACTCCTGTCCCCATCGCCCCCGACCTAGGAGAGGTCGCCCTGGCCCGCATTCGACCTGTGCCACCCCCGGGGTCGCTCCGGGGTCTCCCAGGCGACCTGGGGGGGCGTTGTCCTCGGACCGTGAATCCTCGTCTCACTCTGGGCAGCGCACTCCGTCTGGGGCGGGGGGAAATATCTCCCGGGGGTATTTGCCTCCCGGGGTTTCTGCCCCCGAGGCCGCTCTCCGCCCGGTCCCTGCCGGTGGTCGCCCAGGGGGTCTTCTCCGCCTCTGCCTCTCCCAGCTCGAGGTCCCGCCGGGGCCTGGGCGCGCGCCCTCCCGCTGCGCCTCGCTCTCCGCGTCTCCCTAGCCCAGGTATCTAACGCGCTCGCTCCGGCCCCCCTCGTGTCCCTCCGCGGGTCCCTCCCTCCTGGGTTCCTCCCTCCCCACCCCCACCCTGGAGGCCGGGAAGCCCCGCCCGAGACTGGAGCGGAGGCAGCAGGTCCAGACGCCTTCCGCGCCCGCCCCGGGACCCTCAGCGCCCCGCGCGCCTCTCGCCCCTCCCCCTCTCGGGGTCGGCGCGGGGTCCAGGTGGGAGTGTGCGGAGGAGCACCCGGGTCGGGGAGATACCGGACCCTATCCCGAGGCCACACGCCCCCGGGACACCCCATTCACAAGCACCCTTAAATGAAATGCACCAACCCGAAGTCGCCCGTTCACTGTCAGACACACGCGCACCCTCTTTCGGATCCTCGCGCCCTCCTCTCCAAAGGTCCCGACGCCGCTGGCCTGACGAAGGACGTGCCACTCCCTGCCCCCGCACCCTCGAGACGGGAGGGAACGGTGGACACTCAGCCCTGGACAGGCAGGGGCAGCTGGTGTCTGGGGAAGAAGGCAGCTGCGCCCCGGGTCGCAGCCTGTCCCTCTCTCCTCCCCCTTTTCTCCCTAAGACCCCCCAGCCCAGGCTCGCCGGAGCCATCGCGGAGCGATGGAATTCCCCCAGCTGTACCCCCTCCCCGCGGGGAGGGAGGGGGAGGTTAACAGGCCCAGGCAGGTGTGGGGGGAAATTCCCCGCCCCCTCCCCCTGGGCCCAACTCCTCAGAGCTCTCTGATCTCCCAGCGCCGCCCGCCTGCTGCCCCCAGGGCTTGGGGGGAGGCCAGCGCAGGTGCGTTGGAGGGCGAGGGAGGGGACAGGGGAGGAGATGGGTGGTGGCCAGAGGCCCAGAGCGGATCCGCCCTGTCCCATCCCTTGCCCCTCAGTCCGGCGACCTCACCCCTCACCACGTCCACGTCAGGCTGTCCATCGTGGAAGGACCTGTCTCCACCCAGTCGGTACCTCCCCCCTCCGCCCCCAAGACGGGGGCCGCAGGGACGATTCTAGAAAGGCCAAGGTGCCACTGGCAGTGATGGGACCCCAGAAGACCTCACAGCAGGCTCTTGGGTGGGTGGGGGTGGCGTGCAGGGGAGAATTCTAAGGAGGAGGGCTTGCTGAGACTCAAGGCTGGCACTGGAGTCGCCTCCTGAGGGAGCCGGGTCAGTGCCCAGGCCGGCCAGGGCTCGCTTCCCAGTTTCCTGGCCCTGCGGGGCACTTGACTAGGAGTTTCACCTGGTAACTGGTGACTGGGCCCCTTTCTCCTTGCTGCCTGTGAGCACCATTACTGCAAAGGCTTGGTGGCATCGCAGAGAGCATCCCAGGGCCGCAGACCTGGGCCAGGACCTGGGTGATGGGCGTGCACAGACTGCCTGTCTACAGTACCAGCCTGTCAAGGAAAGGGAGACAGGGACAGCCAGGACCCCATGTGAAGAATGGGAGTCAGTGGGGGGAATAGAGGAGGAACTGGCCCCTTCCCTGAAGGGAGGCTGGACCAAAAAGGACTGTCCATTGGGTCCACAGAACTTCCATCGCCCACTCCCGATTGCCTCAGTCTCCTGCAAAGGGCCTGTTGGATGAGAGGGAGGGGGTGCTCAGTTCCAGGACTTAGGCGCTGAGATGAGGGGCAGTGTCCTCACTGCAAGCTTCAGTCCCAGGTGGCTAATGGAACCTCCAACTAAGGAAGTCCAAGGCCTTTGCCCCCTGCTGAGGGGACCCACAGGCTGGGGAATTGAACAACAGAAACTTATTGATTCACAGTCTGGAGGCTAGAAGTCTGAGATCAGGGGTGGTTCCTTCTGAGAGCTGTGAGGGGGAATCTGTTTCGTGCCTCGGGATTGGCTTTGGTGGTTCACTGGCCACCGTTGCCATTCCTTGGCTTGCAGAAGCATCAGTCACCCTGATCTCTGCCTTCATCTTCACATGGCATCCTTCCTGCCTGCATGTCTATGTCCAAATTTCCCCTTTTTATAAGGATGCCACTCATGTTGGATTAGGGCTCTCCCTACTCCAAGATGACCTCACCTTAACTAATTGACCTAACTGCTATGACCTAATGGGTGAGTTGTATGGTGTGTGGACTATATCTCAATAAAACTTTTACTAAAAAAAAAAAGTAGGCAGGGTGGCACTGGTGGACACAACTGATAGGACATGTAGAGACAGGCAGGACAGTGTCAAGGATGGCGCTGGGTTCTACTTGTGTGGTGGGGCCTTCAGACAAGGACAACAGGTAGACACTCCCTCTTGCTGCCTGCCTCTGGTGCTCACAGGACACCCCCGGCCAGGGCCCTGGAGGCAGCTGGACACACAGGTTGGGTCGCAGAAAGGGGAGCCAAGCTGGTGCTGCAGACTGACAAACCATGAACCCTGAAAGTTTGGGCCAAAAAGAGCTGAGGTTCAGTTTCTAAAACACCAGGCTTTTAGGTTGGGGGGGCAGAGGATCCCTTGAGGGAGACTGGGAGGGAATGTAGTGAGGGAGTGGTGAACTCAGAGGAGGGATCAAGGAGGGGGTAGAGGGTGATGAGCTCTGAGAAGCATCTACTGACTTTAGTGAAAAGGAGGCCCTTAGTTCCAGCGTGCAGAATTCTTCCTGACAGGACATGGGGACAGGAGGCTGGGCTGGGCCAGAAGGGTGAGTGGGGACATGAGAAACATTTCTGTGATGCTCACTTTACAACCTTGGGGACAGGGATGGGGACTGAGGCTCCTGGAGCTGATCACTGCTCCCCATTTTAAAAATTTGAGTTCCTTGTTGATACTTATACTAATCCTTGTGAACTTTTAATTTTAAATTTTATAATTGAGACATTGATGGGAACTGTCATGCAAAGGGTCACAGAGACACCACCCACACCACGTGGTGCAGACATAATAGAATAGGGTTTATTGGGGGAAACTAGCAACAGAGTGAGATGTGGTGTCGCTGTCCGCAGAGGGGGCCCCAGCTTGCAAGAGAGGGATTGCCCCTTGCACTTTGCTCTGTGACAATGATGGGGCAAGGGACATCTTTGTGGTTCTGGAACCATGGAGGAAGTGGACTTAGGAGACACTTCTGGAGTTCAGTGGCTAAGTGGCCATGAGGCCACCCAAGATGATGACAGTGTCCAAACTGATGTCCATCTGGCATCCTCCGTCCGAGCAACATGCATCATCCATCTGTCCTCTAAGGTCGGAGCAGGCGTGGAGAAGAGGAAGAGTGTACTGGCCCCATCAGCGTGAATGTCCAGGAGGAAAGAGAAGCCTGTGCCCTCTTTAGATTCTTCTCACACTGCACCCCAACTTCTGGGTGCCTAGAGCCCAGCCAAGGTGACAGCCGTGGGGCTTGGGACTAGGGAAGTTGCTGGTCCGCAGGCCCCACTGGAGGGGATGCAGAATGGGCACAGCGCAGGCTCCGCTGGGTGCAAGGACTGTGGCTCAGTGCTTTTCACCAGGCACCTCGAGCCTGTGTGAGGTTCCAGGCAAACTCCGTTTCCAACCATGTGCCACTGAGATATGTGGAATGTATGGCTTTGTGATGCCAGCTGTTGTTGCAAAGGGGATGTGGACACACACACCAGCTCTACATGGTGAGATATAAAATAAGATTTATTGAGGGAAATGAACAAGCAGAAGGGCAGCGGGGGACACCCGAGATGTCACTGTCCCATAGCCGGACGGGAGGCTCTGTGGCCAGCTTGCCAGGAGAGAAAGAGCCTGCTGTTTGTGCCACTTCTGCAATTACAGGATGAGGGCAAGGAGCCTTGCTGTCAAAGACAAGTCCTTGTTAGCGAGCGGCAGCCTCTGGAGTCCCAGGGGACATCAGCCCGCTTCTTTTGGACCTGCTAGGCCAGTTCTCTGCTGTGTTACCAGACTAGAGAAAGACATGCACATCTGCTGCCATCCAGGTCTGCCCCTCCTCCTGCATCAGATGAATGTGGGTGACCCAGGACACTGCCGGCCTCAGCCAAATAGTCTGCTCCATGCTGGCTCCCACTGCCAGGAATGACACCTGCCATCGGGATCATGGACACTGAGTTTATGTTGGAAAAGAGTGAGGGAAAGGAAGTCTGACAGTGTATAGCGGGACCTCTGGTTGGCCTGCTCTGTTACTAATGGAAGGCTGCGCCCCAGCAGCAGGCGGCCAAGGGGCAAACAAAGACCCACGTGGCACTCGTCCAGAAAACACCTGAGTGGCTGGAGCTAGGCAGGGCAGCTCAACTCAGCTCCAAAAAGTGGGAAGCTCTTCAAACGTGCCCTGGCCAAAGCAGGGCCACACCCAACTGGAAAGTCCTTGGCAAAGTCTCGTGCTCTGAAAACAGATAGGTGTTTGTGGCTTGGGGCGGCACAACAGGGAAGAGTGACTTTGTCAAAAGATGCTTCTTCAGATCTTTCGGAGGTCAGGCCTTCCCCACATCACGCACACCTGCAAGCTGCCAGCTCCTGGCACTCTTCTTTGCCTGCATGAAGACACCATCAGAGTTTTCCTCCTGGGAGGCCTCTTGAGGGAGTGTGAAGCTGTTGATGCTTTGAAAGAGTGAAAAAGAGCTTTTGTCCAGAAGCAGCTAACTTGGTGGGAAATGCCAGCGTCCCGCGTAGACATGATGCTGGCGACACATGAGATTCCTCTGTTTGAGTTGGAGAGGAGATTGGCCTCACTGAGACTCACTGCTGGGTTTATCTTTGAATTTTCTGATCACAAAGAAACACACATTCATTATAAAAATCCAAATATGGCAGAAATAGATAACAGAAAGTTAAAGATTCCTGTAATACGTTTCCTTTAGAGAAAAACCATCAACTAGATCATTTTAATTTTATTATTATTATTATTGTTATTAAATATATCTTTATTGATTTCAGAGAGAGGAAAGGAGAGGGAGAGAGAGAGAGATAGAAACATCAATGATGAGAGAGTCATTGATCGAGCCCGCAACCTAGGCATGTGCCCTGACCGGGAATCGAACCCCGATCGCCTGGATCCTGGGTCGACGCTCAACCGCTGAGCCACGCCCGGCAGGGCTATTATTATTATTTTTTAATCCTCACAGAAGGATATTTTTTCCATTGCTTTTCAGAGAGAGTGGAAGGGGGTGGGGGGGGAGAGAGAAAGAGAGAGAGATGTGAAAGAAACACCTTGACTGGTTGCCTTCTTCACGTGCCCCGACTGGGGCCGGGGATCATGCCTGCAACCGAAGTATGTGTCCTTGGCCAGAACTGAACTCAGGACCCTTCAGTCCGCAGGCCGATGACCTACCTGCTGAACCAAACCAGCTAGGGCACTAGATGATTTATATATACACACACATATACATACATCATATCAATTCCTTTAAAACATGAGATTGCTCCATTGCCATAAAACTTGGGAATTCCCAGCTTTCTACACTAGCATGCCCTGGGAGGAAACACCAACATGCTTAAGAAGTCCCACGTCCTGCTCTGGAAGTCTCTGGGCCTTTTCAGGAAACAGAGTTCTCCTCTGTTACTGTGACAGGTTTAGAAAATGTTCCCAAATTCCTTGATATTCCTCACTCCAAGTGGAAGAGCGTAATTCCTCTCCCTTGGATGTGGTGACTGGCTTCTAATGAACAGAGTAAAGCCAGAATGAAGGGGTGTGACATTGGTCGTAAAGCCACTGTGGCTTCCTTCTCTTTTTTTTTTTTTTTTTAAGGAAAACAGCCTATTGGAAATATAGATAGTTGACTGGTAAAATTTTTATTTATTTATTTTATTGATATCTACAGAGAGAGAAGGAGGACAGAGAGAGAGAGAGAGAGAGATCTATTTGTTGTTCCATTTATTTATGCATTCATTCATTGATTCTTATATGTTTGTATGTATGTCCCTGACTGGGGATCGAACCCGCAACCTTGGCATTTGGGACAATGCTCTAACCAACTGAGCTACTCAGCCAAGGCTTTTTCTTTCTTTTTTTTTCCTTTTTAACAGCTTTAATGAGTTATAATTCATATACCATATGGCTCACCCATTTAAAGTATAGAATTAGACGGTTTTAGTATATTCACAAAATTGTGCATCCATCACCACAATTACTTTTAGAACATTTTCACTACACCAAAAGTCCTCTCCATCTGCTTCTATTTTGGGGGAGAGTTTGTGAAGGATTGATGTTAATTCTTTGAATGTTGTTTTAAAAATATTTTTATTGATTTTTTTAGAGAGAGAGAGGAAGGGAGAGAGAAAGAGAAACATCGATGTGAGAGTGGAACATCCACCAGCTGCCTCGGCTGCCTCCTGCGAGCCCCCCACCAGGGATAGAGCCCAGGGCAAGTGCCCTGAGGGGGAATTGAATCAGCAACCTTTTGGTGCATAGGGTGATGCCCAGCCAACTGAGCCACACAGGCTAGGATTTTAAATGTCTTTATTTATTTATTTAGGCAATTTTATTTTATTTTTAAAAAATATGTTTTTATTGATTTTAGAGAGAGAAAGGGAGAGGGAGAGAGAGAAACAACCTCCCAAAAGCCCCCTATTGGAGATCGAGCCCACAACCCTGGCATGTGCCCTGACCCAGAATGGAACTGGCAACCTTTCCTTGCAATGGGACAATGTTCCACTAACTGAGCCACACTGGCCAGGGCTAAATCTTTAAATGTTTTTAGAAGCCACCAATGAAGTCATTCATCTGGGCCTGGGCTTTTCTTTGTGGGAAGTTTTAAAATGACTAATTCAGCCTGGCCAGTGTGACTCAGTGGTTGAGCGTCAACCCATGCACCAAGAGGTCATAGGTTCGATTCCCAGTCAGCACATACTAGGGTTGCCAGCTAGATCCCCAGCAGGGGGCCTGCAGGAGAAGCTAATCCATGTTGATGTTTCTCTCTCAGATGTTTCTATATCTCTCTCCCTCTCCCTTTTTCTCTCTCTAAAAAAATAAAAAATAAAAAATCAATAAAAACATTTAAAATTATTAATTCAATCTCTTGTTATAGGTCTATTCAGATTTTCTATTTCTTGAGTCAGTTTTGGTAGCTTGTCTTTTTAGGAATTTTTTCATTTCATCTAAGCTATTTAATTTGTTGGGACACCATTGTTCATAATATTCACTTATAATCTCTTTTCTTTCCTATGAGATAGGCAATAATGTCCCATCTTTCATTCATGATTTTAATAATTTGAATTTTCTTTATCTTTAAGAAATGTTTTTGGGTCAATTTACCTAAAGGTTTGTCAATTTTATTGATCCTTTGAAAGAACCAAAGTTTTGTTAATTTTCTCTATGTCATTAATTTCTATTCTTATCTTTATCATTTCCTCCCTTCTACTTTCTTTAGTTTACTTTGTTCTTTTTCTAGTGTCTTATTATGTAAATTTTTAAGTTATAGATAGATTTGAGATCTTCCTTTTTTAATATAAGTTTTAGAGCTGTAACTTTCCCTCTGAGCGCTGTGTGGCTGTACCCCATGTTTTCGTACGCACGCTGCGTCTCCGTTTTGTTCACTTCAAAGTAGTTTCTAGTTTTCCTTGTGATTCCTTCTTTGAGTCACTGGTCACCTGGGAGTGTGTGGTTTAATTTTCACATATTTGTGAGTTTCTCAAACTTCTTTCTGTTAATGATTTCTGGCTTCATTCCACTGTGGTCAGCTAACATGCTTTGTATGATTTCAATCCTTTCAAATGTACGGAGTCTTGTTTTATGGCTCAGATATGGTCTATCCTGGAGAAGGTTCTACGTGTGTTTGAGAAGAATATGGACTCTGCTATTGTTGGCAGTTTTCTTCTCGCTCTGCTCTCTCACTCATGTGGGGGGAAGATAGCTGTCATGTTTGAGGACACTCAAGCAGCCCTAAGGACGGGTCCCTGTGGTGAGAAACTGAGTCCTCCAGCCCACAGCCATTTAAGTGAATAGGCTGTTTTAGAACTACTTCCTCCAGCCCCACTCAAGCCTTCAGAGGACTGCAGCCCCAGCTGACATCTTTTCTTCAACCTTAGGAAAGACCCTGATCCAGAATCACCCAACCCAACCACTCCTGAAATCCTGACCCACAGAAACTCTGGGAGATAGTAAATATTTGTCATTTTAAGCCACTAAGTGTGGGGGTAATTTGTGACACAGCATTAGATAACTAATACAATTACCCATTAGTCCGCTGGCTTTCAGGAGAACAGGTCTTGAAGCACAGTTGAACATTAGGCAGAAGTTTTATCTTTTCTGAGGGGAAAAAAATGAAAACCTAGATTAATGATTCTTTTCTTGTTGAAGCTGCTAGAGCCAATGCACACACCTTGTAATGATGACCTCAAGGCCTTGAGCATAATGAAAACTAGGTAGAATGATGCTGATTTGGGGAGTCATTGGGAAGCCCCAAACTACCTACGCCTGGTAAAATAAGCTCTTTGAGATCCTCAGAGTCAGTCTGCAGCCCTTGTCATAAAAAAGATGGGGAATCAACCAGATATCAAAGATGACCCACCCTTGACCACGCCAAAGGCACTCCACAGCATCCACTTCCTTTTTAAACTGAACAGTGGCTTTTTCTTGGAAATCTCCTTTTTTGTTTTAGGCAGAAATCAAGTTTCTTTTGGTTGTTTTATACAACTTGGATTCATTTCTGTATTTTATGAGATGTGGCTCTTAATATTTACATGAATTAATATGAGACACAATGCTTTCTAAAGACTGGTTTTATATTCTGTTTATGTGAAGAGAACCCATTTCAGTTGACACATTATTTGCAAAACTTTACATGTGTGTGTGCATGTGCACACACATTAGTACATTCTTCCAGGTGGCGTATATTTTTTCATCAGATTCTCAAAAGAGACTACAATCAGTAAAAAGTTAACACCTCTTAGAACAGAAGAAAGAGAAAATTGTAGTTTGTAAGGATGGGACAGACTGAGGTGTATTTTCAGGTCCAGAAGAAGCCAGTAGAGAGGACCGATAGAAGACTCAGGAAAGGCAGGAAGGCCAGGGCACAAAGCTCCCAGACAGTGCCTATCCCCCGAGGTGTTTGGACTTTGGGCTGGCAGAGACCAAGATCCCACAGGTGTGTTGAACCCCTCCTTTGCCCCCCATCCCTGTCTGTACCTGGATCCTCCTGCTGGGTCGCACTGGGAAGCCGCTCCCGCTGTCTCAGGGCCTCCAGGCCCACCAGATCAGGCATGTGGCAGTGGCCGCGCATCACAGTCACCTGCTCGCCCTGGGTGATGGCCCGGCTGCGGCAGCCCAGCCGGGCCTGGTCCCGGCACATCCAGTACACTTTCTCACCAGCAGCCTTCTCCTTCCTGTAGAGGAAGGACTCGTGCACCAGGAACCTCCCTCCAAGGGAAGTCCTCAGGAACTCCAGAGGCTGGAGGGTTCCTGGAAGGAACATAATGCTGTGAGTAGGGTGCCTGGGCCAGGCCTGGGAAGCAGGGGAAGGAGCCTGCGTGCCAGATGGAGGCTGTTTCCTTTTTCCCACCAGCCTTCTCTAACCAGGAAACTGTCATCCTGGTCCCTGCGCTCTACCCTGGGGACTGAAGCTAAGGTCCCTGGGGACTAAAGCTCAGGTCACCAGCCCAGGGCCTATAGCCCTGGCACCTTCGAGTAGAGACTGTCTCTAAGGGCTCTGGGGGGGTTGGCTCTGCAGCCATCCAAACCCTGAGTTTCTTGCAGGCCTCTCCTGATGGCTTGGACTCCACACTTGCTGGCAAGTCCCCCAGGGTGGGGGCTGAGCTGAGCTGAGCTGGGACATTCCGGGAGGCCCATGGCTGGTCTGAACCATGAACACCAGAGGCCTCCCAGCTCCTTGTGCACCCTCCCTTTGGCCAGCTGACAAACCAATCAACTCTCTCTTGAGACTTTTAAGAATCTTAACTGAACGGTCATGCAATATTGAGGTTGGGGTTGCCAAAGAGAACTGGGGTAAAGGGGTGGCGGGGGGAAGGGAGAGAGGAGACAGAGGAAAACACACGAGAGGCCCAGAGAGGAGACAAAGGGTCCCCAAGGTCCAGGCACACCCCCTTTTCTCCAGTGGTCTGAGTGGGTTTCTCCCACTGACAGCCCAACCCAGACTGGGCCCAGCACCATGCGTGGGGAACCCAGGTGTAGCCTCTGCCCTCGGGGAATTCACAGCCCAGGCAGACAGACTGATGCGCATGGCTGGACCCCACTGGACATGGGTCATGGATAGAAGATCCTAGCAGGTAGCCTCCAGCCTGTGTTTTGGGGTTGGTCCCAGGGGCTGCCAGGCCAGCAGGGAGACCAGGACCCAGTGCCTGCCCACACCTGAACCTTCCCTCTGGGCTGGGCTGGGGAACTGCTCGCGCTGCCTCAGGGCCTCCAGGCCCCCCAGGTCCGGTGGGTGGCAGTGCCTGCGCATTACCATCACCCGCTGGCCCTGGGTGATGGCCCGGCTCCGGCAGCCCATGCGGGCCTGGTCCCGGCACGTCCAATACACCTTCTCGCCAGCAGCCTTCTCCCGCCTGTACAGGAAGGACTCGTGCACCAGGAAGCTGCCCCCCAGAGGGGTCCTCAGGAACTCAGGGCCTCCTGGGGAGAAACGGGGGAAGCAGTCAGGGCAGGGAAAGCCTGGAGCCCAGGACACAGACAACCACCCCACCAGCTTCAAAGCCCCAGCCTAGCCTCAGCTCCTAGGGGCCCCTTTCCAGAGCCTGGCAGGGAGGGGAGATGAGACTGGTGAAGTGGAGGCACCTGAAGGCAGAAGGCCGGCCCCCCATCTCATGGTACCTACAGGAAAGGGGCATCTTTGCTACATCCCCTGGCTTATCCAAGGTGCCTGCAATGGGGTGCACACCAGGCCATGTGGTCCCTGCTGAGCTGGAGGAGTAAGTGGACAGCCCCTCTAGGGGACAAATAAGGAGCAGTAACATAGGCTCGTGTGTGGTGCCTTCTGTGAGCACGCACAGCCGACTCCCTGGGAGCCAGGCTGCGTGGGGATTGACCCGAGGGCAGCAGGAGAGGGCAAGCAATATTGGGGGCCATGTCTTAGATGTACTGAAAGGGAGGTGGCTGAACCCTTCTCCCCAAAGGACTCCCTTCCCTCCATCCAGGCACAGGGACCACACAGAGGAGCTAGAGACAGAATGGGGAGTCTGTCTCCACAGCAGAGAACAGTGGAAGCCAAGGCGGGTGAGAATGCCCTGGAGAGGGTGGGGGTGTCTGGATGTGGAATGGAGCTAGGTGACCTCAGGGCACGCTTCTGTTCCTCTGGCCCCCAATGAAAATGTCCCCTGAGGAATGAAGGCACAGGGCACCAGGAGAGAAATTTGGAGGGGGCAGGAAAGGGCTGCAGAGCAGAGATGCTGACAAAATGGTGTAGAGGCTGGGGGGGTGGGGGTGGGGATAGAGGCATGTGGTCACAGACTTGGCAAACCAGCCTGTTGGGGAAGCCACCAACAAGTCCAGGGGCCAAGTCTGGGAGGCCTGAGATCCCTCTGAAGGTGGGGTCCAGGGCAGTGCTACACAGGGGGCCTGGATATGGGCTGTTTGTATGAAGAGCAATGATATAAGGGTGTCCGTGCCTGGGGCAGAAGAATCTTTGGAGGGGGAAGGACACGGAAGCCTGCATCTGGAACGTGATACTGCTCACTCATTTTCCATGCCCAAGTCCCAGAATGCGGGCAGCCGCTCTTAGACCACTGTGAGAAGTTCCTCCTGTGGACACTGACCCATCACTTGCATAGGATCAGTCCTCAGAGAGCTTTGGGTCATTCAAGAACAGAGACCATACAACCAAGGAAGGATTTATAACCCGGAGCTCCTCAAACAGCCACGCTCTCCATCACGACAATTTCAGACACCCATGGTCTCAACAGTGTGGCCTCCAGGGACTCTTGCTAGGGTAGTGACTAGAGGAGGGACTTCAAAAGACAAGAGGGTAAACCAAGCAAGAGAAAGAGAGATCTAGAGATGAGGGTCCAGCTGGGAGGCCCCAAGGAAATGGGGAGGCAGGGCCCCAATTAGACTGAAGTAAAAAGTCTGGAGCTGTCCGCTGCTGGGTGAGAAAGGGATGTGTGAGGAAGAGGAGCGATGGGCACGCAGAACACTAGGTGGACAGATAAAGTGGCTGCTTTTCTGCCCAGAAAACAAAGAGCTGTGTGAGGAGGAAACAACTGCAATGTATTCCCAGCTCAGATTTATATAATAAAGCAAAAACCAAAAAACTGCAATAACTGCATTGAAAGGGTGGGGGCAGAGGGTAACGGATGAGCCCCCCCCTTCTTACCAATACTTTCATTGGAAATCAACAAAAGATTCAAGAAGCTGTTGATAGCGGTAGAAGGATGTTTCAAGAAATAGGGTAAAAAAGAAAGAAAGATATAGGGTAGCCCTGGCTAGTGTGGCTCAGCTGACTGGGTGTCATCCTGCGCATGAAAGGTGGCCAGTTCGATTCCCAGTGGGGGGTGTACAGGAGGCAGCCTGTCCATGTTTCCCTCTCACATCAATGTTTCTCTCCCTCTCTCCCCGCTTTTCTCTCTCTCTCTAAAAAAAAAAAAAATCAATTAAGAAATAGGGTAGCCCTGGCCAGTGTGGCTCAGTTGGTTGGAGCGTTGTCCAGTACACCAAGGGGCGGCAGGTTTGATTCCCAATCAGGGCACATGCCCAGATTGCAGGTTTGATCCCCACTTAGGGAGTGTGTGGGAAGCAGCCAACTGATGCTTGATTGATATTTCTCTCTCACATCGTTGTTTCTCTCTAACTCTCTCCCTTCCTCTCTCTCTAAAAATCAATAAAAAATAAAATAAAATATAAGAAACAAGAGAAGGAACTCAGAATGATTATTTGGGGTGGGAACCGGGGGTGAGGATGGGGCGGGGATGCCATGTGCCTTGTAGCTTCGTCTCCAGAGACACAGAAGTTACATGGAAATGGAATAAAAAGAGAGTCAGAAAGAAATACAATTGGAAATCCCAAGTTTGAGAGAACTTTAGGGCCAAAAAGGCCCCAAAGGTGACCCAGATGACTCAGAAAATTATACAACTGGTAACCTCTGCAGGAGAGGCAGGTGTCTCTCAGACATGAGTGAAGAGCTGGGTAGGGAGGGAGGGCTGGGCGAAGTTGCTCTTCTTAGCAAGGTGAGGACAGGAACATTTACATTATTTACGTTATTGTGACTGCCAGAGGCCAAACACCAGGCCCTGTGGGGCTGACCAAGTGGACAAAGATGAAAAGAGAGGGGCTGTGACCCTTGTCAGAGGCTCCATTAGGGCGCATGCTAGATTATTTCTGGGGAAGAGCTGGAGGAGAGAAGTAGTGGATTAATTACATGAAAATACCACCTTCCATCCTTTCATCACTCGGTCTTCAGGACGCGCTTGTTACCAGGTACTGTGTTATCCACTCACACTGTAAAAATGAGCAACTGACCTGTGTAATTAGCTTCCTCTATAAATCCTATAAGTTCTTAAGAAAAAAAAGGAGGGGGAAGAGAAAAGGGGGCCTGGGTTGATCACGTGCTGTAGAGATTTGGGGGCAGCTCAGGCTGGTCTGAGCAGGAGCGTGAGGACTGCCACCTGAGTGGGGCTAGGGACTGCCCAGAATCCCCCCAGGTCCTGCTGGGAACTGTGGTGAGATGGTGGTCGGGGAGTGGAGGCGAGGAAAGAGGAAGGCGAGGGGAGGGGGCTGTAAGTCCTTCCAGAGTGCTCCTGGTGAGGAAAGAGAGGGTGCTTGCTGAGAGACATTGGGGTCAAGGAGGGAAGGCTGGCTGGCTGGTCTCCTGCCTGTCCTGGGGCCTGCTCCCCATCTGTCTTACCTGAACCCCCTCTCTGGGCTGCACCAGGGCGTTTCTCCCGCTGCCTCAGGGCCTCCAGGCCCATCAGGTCCGGTGGGTGGCAGTGGCCTCGCATGACTGTCACCCGCTGGCCCTGGGTGATGGCCCGGCTCCGGCAGCCCATGCGGGCCTGGTCCCGGCACGTCCAATACACCTTCTCGCCAGCAGCCTTCTCCCGCCTGTACAGGAAGGACTCGTGCACCAGGAAGCTGCCCCCCAGAGGGGTCCTCAGGAACTCAGGGCCTCCTGGGGAGCAAGGGGGTAGGTGGTCAGCAAAGGATGGGCCAGGCCTGATGCCACCCCCTCCCGCCTCCCAGGCCCTCAGGAAGTAAGACTTGAGGGGGCCCTAGCTCTGGCCAGCGGGTATGGAGGACTCACCCAGGCCCCTTTCCTGGTCCTCCGCGGGGGGCTCCTGCAGGGCCTGGGGCTTCGTGCGCTTTCTGGGATGGGGCCTGGTGAGGGTCAGGGTGCCAGGCCCCCTGCGGTAGAGCAGGCTGTCCACGCCTTGGAGCAGCTTATCCACTTGGCCCCCAGGGCCACCTGGCTTGGCCTGAAGCCTCTCCAAGGCCTTCTCCTGCTGCCGCCGGGCCTGCAGGCCCTCCACGTCGGGCGGATGGCAGTGGCCACGCATCACAGTCACTCGCTGGCCCTGGGTGATGGCCCGGCTGCGGCAGCCACGCAGTACGTGGTCCCGGCATGTCCAGTAGACCTTGTCCCCCACAGCCTTCTCTCGCTTGTACAGGAAGGACTTGTGCACCAGGAAGCTGCCTCCATAACAGGTCCTCAGGAACTCGAAGGGCGGGCGCTCTCCTGGAGGAGGAGCCGGCGGTCACACTGGCTGGAGGGCGGGGCGGCAGTGCTGCCCCTGGAGTGTGTGGCCCGTGTGCTCGGTCCAAATGCATCCCACTGACCCCCCACCCAGCGACCCAAGGGGGAGTTGCAGCTCCTCTTCTGGTGGTCAGAGGGGCGGCCACGTCCAAGATCATACACCCGGAGGGGCCAAGCTGGCTCTGACGCCACGGCCGATGCACTCAGTCACTCCAGGCCATACTTTTCCTTAGGGTTTGAAAATTTTATCTAATTTTTGAGTAATACTTGCACATGCCATAAAATACAAATGGTACCAAAAGATACACAATGTAAAATAAGACCCTCTCCCTCGACCTGCTTCAGGCACCCAGAACAGCAGTTGTCTTAAATCCTTGGATCCTTGAATCCTTTCCAGGTCAGAAGGCATCCAACCTTTGGGACCAAGCCCATCCCCCAGTTATGGGCAATAAAAACTGCACAAAAATCCTGTCTACAAGTTACTCAGTGCCACCACACGCTGGGCCAGTGCTGAGCCCTTCCCACATGTCAAACACCTAATCTCCCTGACATTTAGGCTATGACCCATCTTAGGACAAAGCTCCCAAAACTGCAGAAATTCAGCAAACATTCTGAGGCTACCCAGCTACATGAGGTGCGGCTGGAACTTGAACCTGGGATCCATAGCTCAAAATTCTCCTAGCAGGGTGACCTTCCCAAACTGCACGGGTTGCCAGAATCCCATGGAGCCCATTAAAACTCATGCTTTTGCCCTGGCTGCTGTGGCTCAGTGAGCGTTGGCCCAAGGACCGAAGGGTCGTGGGTTCGATTTCCAGTCAAGGGCACGTACCTGGGTTGCAGGTTTGATCAGGCTCGTGGAGAGGGGGCGTGCGCAGGAGGCAACCAATCGATGTGTCTCTCACTTCAGTGTTTCTCTCTCTCTCTTTCTCCCCCTCCTCCCTCCTTTCCACTCTAAAAAAATAAATGGAAAAAATATCCTCCGGTGAGGATTGAAAAATAAACAAAACAAAAAATGCTTCTCTGCTCCATACCAGACTCTGCTGCGTCAGAAAATTCCAGAAGGACCTGGGACCTCCTGGTTCAGGAGCTGTAGTTCTATCCCATGGGCTTAATGACTCTGGGACACGTTGATATTTTTTAAAGTTGTTTTAACTTTGAGCACATTTTATAAAATGTGTAGAACCCCACATATCTATCTGGGCATAAGAAAGGGCCCACGGGTTCATGCCTGTCCCAGAGTGGAACTGGGGTGGGGAAGACTCACCAAACATCAGTATCCGGCGTTTCTTGGGGGGCAAGCTCAGCACTGACAGGGATCGTAGCCCCCCGCTCTCCTCTGGGGCCGGCTTGCTCAGCAGCAGCCCAGGGGCAGGCTCTGGCTCCTCAGGGCACAGCCACGGGCCTACCCCCTTGAGTGGCTCCTCCACCTGGCTTCCGAGGACCTCAGGACCCCCTACGCCTTCCAGCAGGGCTGGGCTGCGCAGTTTCTGTTTCCGGCGCCGCGCCTCCAGGCCCTCCTCATCAGGGGAGTGACAGTGGCCCCGCATCACTGTGGCCCGCGGGCCTCGGGTGATGGCCCGGCCCCGGCAGCCCAGCTCGGTGTGCTCTCGGCATTTCCAGTACACTTTGTCCCCCACAGCCTTCTCCTGCTTGTACAGGAAGGACTCGAGCACCAGGAGGCGGCCCCCGAACGGGGTTCTCAGGAACTCCAGGGGCTTGGGAGCTGCTAAGGGCAAGGAGAGGGCCCGGTTAGCTGACATGGAGCAAACATGAGGCCAGGGACATGGACGGGAGGGATGGGGGGTGGGGGTGGACAGGGCTGATGGGCTGATAATCATACCAGCCTGGGACAGGTTCAAAATCAGGGACAAGTAGGCTTGGCTTGGAGAGGGAATAGGACAGCCAAAGTCACTCCACTAGAAAGGGGGGTACACGGGGCCCGAGCAGAGCATTCAGGGTCAGCGGCAGCAGGCCCGGAACTCACCTGTGTCTGGCTTGCTGCATTTCTGCACAAGGGTCTGGGGGCTTGGCTGGACTGGCCCTCCCTGCTCCTCTGCTGGCAGGATCTGGAGGGTTCTGGCCAGGGTGTCAGGGCCAGACATCTCCAGGGATATGACACAGTGCACTCCATTGGGCAGGGAGCCCACGCCATCCCTGTTCTCAGTGGAGGCCGTTAGCAGGACCAGATTGGAGAATTCCTTGGGCTTTGTGGGGGCTGTGGGGACGACATCTGTGCCAGTCTCAGGGGACTCAGGGGACGGCTCCTGGCCGGCCTTCACACTCTCGCCCTCCTGCTCGCTGGGCTCAGGCAGGGGCATTCCGGGATCAATGGCCTGTCCCACAGGGCACACTCAGGCCCCCGTAGATGGATTTACCCTCCTCCTCCCTGGCAAGGAACCTGGCAGTCCAGGGGCTCTGCCCTAAGGGAGGAGGCAAACCCCCATCAGTGGAGACGCCTGGGGCTCAGGAGAACCAATCTAGGGTGCAGGTCAGGCAGGGCACCAGGATGGGCAAGGATCTGAATGGAGCTAGAGTAACCCAGGCAGGTGCTACTGCTTGGCTAGTTCCTCTCTTGGCAGCAGTGAGCATTGTCGCCTTCCCCTTCCAAACTTCACTTTCTCCATGTGTAAAATGTGCCAAAACAAGGCTCTTGGCTGGGGGTGAAGTGGGTGGGGGACTTTTGGGGCAATAAGATGCTGGCAATGTGAGTTACTATAAATTGAGGTCCACAGGGCAAAGTGTTTCACAGGTTTTTCCATTTAACCTTCCAGCCTCATGTTATGAAAGTCCACCATTCTTACTGACCCAGTTTACAGAGGAGAACACTGAGGCATGCCAGGGTGACCAACACAGCCATGAAGAGGCAGAGCTGGGAGACTAGCTGAGGAAGATCAGGAGCCCACCCCACACGGCACCTGGTGTACCTTGTCCAGGATAACAGTCACTGGTATTCCTGAGCACCAAGCATCTGAGACAAGCACGGAGAACATGAGCTCAGGCCATTGACTCTCCCAGAATTCCCAGGGCCCTTTCCCCCTCACACTCTGCAGACCACAGAGTTCCTGGCCCTGGGAGGCTTGACTCTCTGGACTCACAACTAGATACTAGATCCTGCCCCCACCCCAGGCAGGAGGCCTGGGGCCACCCAGAGCTCAGGAGGTGCCAGGGCCCCATGAAGACAGCAACCTTGTGCTTGAGCTGGTGCTGGTGCTGGTGCTGCCTCGGCTGAGCAGGGACAGGGCTGTGGAGTTGTCCAGAGAATCCGTGGTCACTGAGGGCTCTCTGGCTTCTCGCCTGGAGAAGCAGAAAGAATGGACTATGGGGTATCCTGGAGACCTGAGCCTAGGGGAATCAGTGTGGGGGGATATTTCTGTCTTCTTGGGGCCTGGGTGGTGGGTAGATTGTGGGTCTTTCCCATCTCTCAGTAATAGTCCAGAAACAAGACTGCTGCCTCCCCTCCCATTTCAGTTCCCCACTGTGAGCTGTCACCCCCATCCCAGGTTCTGAGGGCCCAGTTCCTCCTGGTTTCCCGATACTATTGGTAAGTTCCTTGGGCTGGTGCCCATATTTAGCTCCCCAAGGCCTGATCAACCCAAGCGAGGGGCTCCAGGGTCTGCGCATCCCCAACAGCGTCCCCCAAAGTCCCTGCCCTACTCCTGGTCCAGAGGGGTGTGACCCAGGGAAATAAAACCTCCACGTACCCTGATATCTGGTAGGAATTCCCCCCCCACCTCCCCCGAGTCATCCCCCTTGCCCAGACTAGCCAATCTCTGGTTCTCCCGTGGGGTCCTTTTCCACCCTGCACATCCTGCCCCACGAGGAGACCTGGTGGGGCGGAGACTTGCGGGGGACACTGCCTGGCAGCAGCAAGGCACTGCCAGGAATCTCCCCAGGCAGAGCTGCTCTGGGCAGGAAAGGGTGACAGCTGAGGCCCCGCCTGTAGGCCGCTGGCTTCCCGCATTTGATTGGCCCCGGAGGGTAGTCCCCCCACCTCAGCCCGCCCCTCTGGCTAGCAGAGTGGGCCCTGGGGTCCCTGGACAAAAGGAAGTGGAGGGTCCCCAATGCCACCTCCTCCCCGTGCCCCATGAGGATGAAAAAGCGCAGAGAAGCTGGCCCTCCCTTTCACAAAGCGCCTTTCGGATCACTCGGGCCACCCGAAGTGGTGCGCTCACTGTCCAGGCAGCATGCACATTCCTACAGGCCCAGGCAGTCGGCCCGCCCCGCAGCTGTTAGGAGCGGAGGCTGCAGGGACCCCCCCAACCGCCTCTGCCGCAGGCGATCAGACACCGAAGCCCAGCCTCCTCCAGATCAGCTGGGGTCCGCAAGACCAGCCATGACCAACGGGGGTCAGCATGGCAAAGACCCCACATTCCTGTGGAACTGTACCCCGAGTCACGGAACCCTGAGTTAGGAGACACTGCGATCCTCTCAACTAAAATTGCTGTTTAAATTCAGGACCCTTGTGCCTCAAAGGAAATGGAAAACACGCCACAATAAAGACCCGAATTATGGCCCAGCTGGGGTGGCTCAGTGGTTGAGAGTGGACTCATGAACCAGGAGGTCACATTCGATTTCCAGTGGGGTGGGGGGGTGCAGGAGGCAGCCCATCAATGATTCTCTCTCATCATTGATGATTCTCCCTCTCTCTCCCTCTCCATTCCTCTCTCTGAAATCAATTTTAAATAAAAGAAAGAAAAAAAGACCCTGAATTATGGCTGACTACCGTCTGTGGAGAGGCCTCAGTGGACTAGAATTTAGATTTGATTGATAGCTCCCATTCTCAACCATTAAAGGGCCTTAAAGTATAGATTGTTTAATGACCATAAATTCTCCCATAAAATATGCAGGCCTCTTTGCACTGTGGTCTTGAATCTGGACTGGCCTCCAGCCCAGCTTGGTCACTTGCTGTGTGATTTGTTGTGTGGCAGGAGCACACTGTCCTTGCCCTGAGACTGATGGGGGAGGAAGCTGTGTGAGAGGCCACATGCAGGGGACAGAGGCACTGACAGGCATGGAGGAAGACCATCTTGCACTGTTCAGCCTAGCAGATCCTCCAGCTGGGTGTAGCCACCTGAAGGTGCCTGAGAAAACCAGTAGAGGCACAGCCCAGCCACCCCATGAAACCCTGATCAATAATAAACTAATGTTATTTAGGCCAGTAAGATCTGAGATGATTTATTACACAGCTGCTCTTCGCAAGTGACTGAACCTCGTGAGTTTTGGCTTTTTGATGAATGGAATAATAATAGTTCCGAAATATCTAACATCAAAGTGCCTTTGAACTCCAGGTGCCATGCTACACAAATGTTAAATCCCTCAGACAATTGCATTTAAAGGGCTGGTAATCCAGTGAAAGGAACAAAAATATTAAGTATAAAGGACAGCAAGTGAGAATTACATACTGAAAAAGTCTGTAACATGAAATAAGCCAGTCAAAATAAGGATAAATATTGTATGATTCCACTTATATGATGTAGCTGGAGTGATCAAATTCACAGGGCCAGAAAGTCAAATGGTGGCTTTTCCCATCCGCCATCTGCGGTGGAATCCCCGCCAAGATGCAAACTTCCGTGAGAACCCTCGCGGGGAAGACCATCACCCTCCAGGGCGAACCCCCAATACAACCGAAAACGTAAAGGCCAAGATCCAGGACAAGGGAGGAATTCCTCCTGGTCAGCAGGGACTGACCTTAGCTGGCAAGCGACAGGAAGACGGACGCCCTTTGTCCGACTACAACGCTCAAAAGGAGCCCACTCTTCATCTTGAGCTGAGGCCTCCTGGAGGCGCTAAGGGGAGGGAGCCTCACGCCCCTCCCAGGAAGGGGAGCGAGAGAAAGGTGAGGCTGCTGTCCCCAGACACACGGCGGGCGGGTGACAGTGGCAGAAGCAGCCGCCTTTGTTGGGAGTCTCTATGGCCAGCCGCTTTGACGGACATTATTGTGGCAAATGCCACCTGACTTGTTGCATCAACAAACCAGAAGACAAAATAATTGTATATGGGTTAATTAAAGACATCAACTAAAAAACAGTCAAATGCTGGCTGACAGAGGAGGGGGGAGGGGAGTTGTATAACGGATACCGGATGATGTTTGACGTGATGAAAAGATGGACGGTGCAGATGCTTGCACAACAGTGTAAATGTACTTAATGCCACTGGACTGTCACTTAAAAATGATTGAAGTTGTAACTTTTTGTGTATATTTTACCATACGTGCAAAAAAAAAAAAATCTGTAACAAACTATATGTAGTAATGCCCCATTTACCTAACATCAGATTAACTGAAGGTATCCCTCCAGGATTCAGAACTTCACAATTTTATGTTCCACAATTTATCCATTTGGGATAGATATCTTCATATGCTCTTATCACTCCTCACTTTCTGGATAAAGAGGGCATGCATACTTTATCCTGATTTGGAAAATGAAGTGTCTCCATCCCGTTCCCTTGGTACATCTCCCTTCCTCCCAGGTGGCCCTTTCTCCAGCATTCATGTCCTGCTCTTTCTGGTCGCCAAATCTTTGTGCCTCTGCTGGTTCTTTGCATTTGGAACATCAAGGTTTTTAGGTCTCCTGTATCCTAAAACAAAACCTAACAAAAACCCCTCCTTCCCTTAACTGTTTAATTTTGCAAGAACAGCACACACCCCTTCCTTTTCACCCTGGCCATCTGGCAGCTGCCCGTTAACCCTGCAGACACCACTCTCCTCTTGGGCCACCATGCAGGCAGGATCAGCACCGGCTCAGTCAGTCCATAAACCATGTTTTCCCTCTGAAACACTTGCTCATGCCTTTATGTGGTCTATCTGTACAATGGAATTTATTCGGCAATAAAGGAATAAAGTTCTGACACGTATTACAATGAGGGTGAACCTTGAAAACATGATGCTCAGTGAAAAAGAAAAAAAAAACAGACACAAAAGGTCACATATTGTGTGATTCATTCACATGAAATGTCCAGAAAAGGCAAATCCATAGAGACAAAAAGCAGATTAGTGGTTTCATAGAACTGGGAGGGGGTATAGGGGGTGATGCTAAGGAGTATGGGGTTTTCTTTTGGGGATAGTAAAAATGTAAAATTGATTGTGGTGATAGTTGGATGACTCTGTGAATACACTGAAAACATTGAATTACACACTTTAGATGGGGGAACTGTATGGTATTTAAATCATATCTCAACAAAACTGTTTAAAAATTCTTATAGGTATGACTCAGGTCCCCAGGATCACTTGGATAAAAACCGGTTTTCTATACCATAAACAGGCTTTTCACTCTTGGCCTTGGTTTCCTCATCAAAGGAGAAGGGTAGCATGAATTATGTACTGATATAGTTTGTAAATTGCTAATATATGAACAAAATACTAGTAAATCACCCATAATCCTGCCACTCGAACGCATAGCTATTTCCATTTTTGTATTTGTACCTTTAACACTGTATCTTCTGTTGCACAAACATTGTGTTCAACATGTTGTTTGCTATTTTATTCCACGTTAGACAGGGAAGCCCCCACCTGCAGACCAGATGAAGTCCCGAGGCACTATCTAACCGAAGCCCCTAACAGTTAGGAAAACACAAATCTAAATCCTTAACAGCAATATTCTAGAAGACCACAAGATGGCAATGTTGCTCCTTAAAAATGAACGTACACATTCTTGGTAAAAATTAACTGGAAGGGTCTGGCTGGGTGTGGTATGACCCAGGCAATCAAGGTTCAATTCCTGGTCAGGGCACATGCCCGGGTTGAGGGCTCCATCCCCAGTGGGGGGCGTGCAGGAGACAGCTGATCAATGACTCTCATCAATGATGTTCCTGTCTCTCTCCCTCTCCCAAATTAATAAAAATATTTTTTAAAAAAATAAAAAATTAAATGGGTGGCACAATGTTTCCAAAACAAGAATTTGGGAGTTTAAACCAGTTACAAAAATAATTCAAGAAGAATTCCCAAAATGTTTGTATTTACAAAACTTATTAGGAAGCAGAATCCAATTAACAAGTTCAGCAAAGATTATTTTTTCTAAGCTAAGGTTTTTGATGTTTTTTTAAAAAAAGACCATAGTATTACTTGGATAATGGCATTATATCTAGCCTTCAATCCACTTTTCTTCTATCTCTTCTTGACTCTGGTCATGTTTTTTATTTATTGACTAATTTTATTTTATTTACTCATGACTTTAAAAAAACCTTAAATAACTAGAAAGAAATATCTCAAAATGTTAAAAGTAGTAAGAATAGTGACTTAATTTTTCCTTACATTTCTTTTGTGTTTTTTCCAAAATTGTTTACAATGTACATGAGCT